TGGCAACAAACTGGGAATGGGGAGGAGGGACTCCTGTTTGCAACAGCAGCAGTTTTGTTGCCTGTCAAACAGCAGCTGAGCAAATGTGAAACACGGATTTGTCCACGGCCTTGTCCACCAGAGGAACCTGGTGACCTGCCCCTGCTCACACACACTGGATGGCAGAAAACAGCCCTGGAATCATAGAATATCTGGAGTTGGAAGGGACTCACAGGGATCATCGAGTCCAGCTCCTGGCCCTGTTTTGGACCCAGCCTCCTTCCAAAGGCAGGACTGCTGCAGGTTTTGAGACTGTCCCAAGGTCCCAGCAGGGCCGGAGCAGAGCTGGAATGCTGGCAGGGTGCAGTCAAGTTGCTTGTGGCCTTCTCAGGGCTGTGTCTGTCTCCCTCTGCAGCTGTGTCAGGAGCAGGAGCAGTATCCACAGCAGGGTGCCCCACAGGCAGGGCTGGGAGCAGGGGGCTCTGTTCCAGCTGGGCAGCAGGCTGGCATCAAATCCCTGATGTGGGGGCTGGACGTGGGTGAATGTGGAGTCACCCCGAGCTGGGTGACAAGCCAGCCAACCTCCTGGGTGCTGACACCAGCAGAGCACCGCAGGACTTGTTTGTCAGGAGCTGCCGTTTTTCAAAACACCTTTGCCAGGCTCTGTCCTGAGCCCCTCCGTGGCTCTGTGCTCTGGTGACAGCCATCAGCCACAACGGGATTTCTCTGTAGCATCATGTCTCCAGGCCCATGTTACCCTCTGACAACACGGCCCCTGTGGGAACCATGTGAGCAGAGATGAACCTCAGGAAGCTGGACATGGCACTGCTCAGCCAGGACAGCCATGGAAAACCCTGGTCTGTCCTTTCCCAGGTGGGTGCTGCTTTATCTTTTCCTATGCTGTCACTTCAGAGGTGGGAGCATTTTACCTTCTCCCAGGCAAATGTGCTACAAATATGTGTGTTATCTGGGGGATTGCCCTGAAAATCTTGTCTACATTGGTCAGAACTATATTTCTAACCCCAAGTTTGGGTCTTCAGGAGCCTTGGAAGAGACACAGGACCACAGCTAGCTAGCAAGGAGCCCAGACCACCAAACGGGCACTACCAGCTGTGAAATCCCTCTGAGGGCTTTCTTCATCATGATGTGCAACCCTGATCTCACCATGGTCCTGAGAACAGGCTCTCACCTTGGAGTCTTCCCTCCAGCACCCCCTGAGCAGCCCAGACAGATGTCCCCCAAAGCACAGTGAGGTAGTTTCAATTTGTGCTACAACACACACCCTGAGAAACATGTGACTGTCTACTGAAACACTGAGGTATAAGATGCCAGAAAAACAAAACCAAGCACAAATCCATCTACATAAAGTTGGTGTTCTACAAAAACTTCACAAAACAGTCTCATCAGTTACAACGAGGCCATGGTTTGAACACACACACTGACAGTGACCTGCACGAGTTCACAATCCGAGAGGAAACACAGGCTCATGTTTTATCTTTGGACACCAGGAAAATAAAAATAAAGGTTCGGCCAAAATGCCTGGCCTAACACCCTACCAAGACCAACTCTCTTCTGCCTCTGTTGACCTGCCGATTTTGTTCCAAATCACTCTAGCCACCAGAGGCAGACAGAATGAATTCCTCTCCCCTCTCAGCTTCATTCAAGCCCTATGAGCAAGAATGAATCCTTTCCCTCATGGAGCCAGGCAAGGCTTTTCTGCAAACCCACCCCTATGTGTCCATAATTAGGCCTTGGTACCCCATGCCAAGCCATACAGAGCCTTATTTATAGTGTCAAACTTTCACTTCTCACCAGTTATCTAAACTACCACTGAGGTTAGGCAGATATTGGCTTTGCAAGCTCTTTCCATACCACTGTAAGAAAAGGTAAGGGTTAAGGTTAGATTCGCATTTGTCGGTTTTGTCTGTTGTGTCTGATGCTGCTGCTGGAGAATAACTGGTTTGTATTTAAAGAAAATCACATAAATTATTGTCTCTGGAAAGAGTTAAATGTGTTTCTGGAACAGCACTTAGACGTCCTAGTTGATTTAGTGCAATCCCATTGATAGTTGGAGCACATGGGATAGCATGGCAGACTTGAAGAACCATCATTCCTGCAAAATTTGTCAGGATGACCTCAGATCAGAATATTTATCTTTGACAAAACAGACAAAATAAACAGGCACACAAATCCTCGAGGAAGGGGAAGGGGACCCTGCAGGACAGCAGCATGGAGGTGTTTTTCCCTCTCTCCTCTGGAGTGGTTCCTGGTGCCCAGCACTGGGGTAGCTGCTGTTTCTCCACATGGCAGAGTTTTACTGGTCCTTCACTTGGACCACTGGCGAGACCAGAAGAGGAGAAACCACCATGGGACTCCAGGGAGGATTGCTGGGCACGCTGTGAAAAGCCACTGCTTTTCCACCACACCAGCCTTTCCTGGACACGCTTTCTTTTCCTTGCTACTAATGCTGCCAGATGGAAGCGAGAGACCAGAGAGACGATGCTCGAGCCACACCTACGTCCCACCACCTTCTAGTTGCCACCTCCTTGCTCCATGTTCTCCCTGAAGCATGACACAGAGATTAAAGGGATTCTGGGATGAAGAAATAAGTAATGTATCTCTAGAACTATTTAACACACTCACATAGCTCTTTCAGCTGCTCAGCATGTGCAGGGCATGGAGAGAGAGCAAAAGTTTAGTTACTAAGATTGATTTCAGCCTTCATTAATATTGTCCTGGAATCCTTCAAAAGGGATTCAGACTCATCATGAGTCATGGAGAACAGTTAATCCTTCCCAAACCAGCCTCACACCTGCCTGCACGAGACCACTTCCAAAGCGATGGTGCATTGTCAAGCCTAGCTCCTTGGGGCTTGGAATTTTGGGAGCTGATCCCTCCCAGCTCTTTGCAAGCTACACAGCTCCCTGAAACTGCTACTGCCCTGTGTGACAGCCCTTGAGCCATGCAGGATGGTGTGGGGCAGGGTGACAGGTTGTTTGAGACTTTCATCCCTCTTCCGAGGAAATGGAGGATGGTAAATCAGAGCTCTGCACCTCCTGCCATCCTTGGGGCTTTACAGCTGACAAAGCCTGCACACGGGGCAGGGACACCAGAGAAAACTCTGTCCCAAGAGATTTTGAACATAAAAGACATTTCATTAAATGTTAGCTTTTTCATCTCTATTCCCCATGTTATTAAAAATCCAGCACAAACTGAAAGCAGCATTATTGACTTATTTGTGTTCCTCAGCATCCTGCTCTCCTCCCCTGTCTCACACACTGCGACAGGCAGAGTTGTGCTGTGGCCATGTCCCATGTCACCTGTAGTGGTCCTGGACGTGGGGACAGCGAGGTGCAGACGTGCATTTGGGATTCTGGCAAGCCCAACTCCAACAAAATAAATAGGCAGTTGTGGGAATAAGTCATGAATAAGAATGCTCCACAAATTGACTGTCCTAGAAATGCTGAAAGGCACAAGAATTTATGGACACAAAGACCCACAAAGTTTACTTTTCCTGGAGAATCATTTGAAAAATATGTTTAGAGAGCCCACTCTTGGTTCCATAATAAAGCCAGCTTACAAATAAACCAGAAATGAGCCTTAAAAACAACCCTGGTTCATTTGAAAAGAATGCAGGGACAATGCACAGCCCATCCTCCGCTCCTCAGGGAGGTGGCAGTATTGCTTTGTACATGCTGGAGGAATTGTTACAGACAGAGATTTTTTTTCAAATGAACAGCAGTGTACCATAATATACCAACAAAATTTAAGGAATGACTTAATCTAATGAAATGTAAGATCAGAGGGATATGGAAACCACACCAAAGACCTGGACCCAAGCTTTGTGTAATTGAGCCAGACTAGGACAGTTGTGTTTGCACACACACTCTGGGGTTTTCAACCAACTGCCAACTTTGTATTTGCTGAGAAAACAAAGTTTAAGTTGACCACCCAGCTATCTAAGAGATCCTGATAACACCACTCATATCTCCTGTCAGTATCATAAATCTCCAATTTCATTATCTACAATGCAGAAAGAGGCAAAAACACCCACGGCGTGGGTGACATGCCAGAGCGGGTGCAGCTGATTTGTCTGAACATCCTCATAGATAATATTCCCAGGGAGATCTTCACCTCTGAGAAGGTCAGAGAAAGCACCTCGAGAACGTTTTTTGACATTTCTGTTAAAACTGCAGTTATGTTATTAAAAAAACTACAAGTCAAGATACCCACTCTCAAACAGAGCATACTTACTATAGACACAGCCAGTGACTAAAGGAATGAACGTCCAGCAGAGGGGCTGATCAAGAAGCGACCGTCCCATAGTTCACCTTCACTCACCTTCACTCACGCGGAGCGTCCTCGGAGAAGCCCCTGAGCGGAGCTTCCCCGGACTTACGAGCCGGAGGCATGTTTTACTGCAAACCCTCCGCGAGTGGCAATCAATTGTGTGGCTCTGGTTTTATTTCTCTGATGATGTCACTTTAAATACTTTTCATGTTCCATTTGTTATTTTTACTTCTAAAAATGACGCATTTCTTCAAATTCATTTTTCTCCAATTAGTCACAACCTGATGGAACCAGCTCGGCTGCCTGCCTGTCAGAGACAGTGTCGGGCCCGTCCACACCGCGACTGTCACAGACAGACCCGCCAGAGCACCTGGAATACAGGGACGGCAGCAGGCACGTTGTTTATCCCAGATGCCCTTTTGGCTTCCTGCCCAAATCTTTTGCAGCAGGGCCAGAGCAGGAGAACTGGGAACTGCAATTTTACCAGAAAAAACCACAGACATAAATCAAAGACAATGAAAAACCAGGAGGAAAAAAGCAACAGAGAGGAAGGAAGGAAGATGCGTCTCTCCACTTGTGGAACAGTCTCTGTAAGAGCAAAGCCGTGACAGCTCTACAACCCCTCGAATCTTTGCTCGCATGCTGCTTCCGAACATTTAATGCAAAACAGTCTGTGGCTACGGCTTTCCCAGAGAGAGAAGGTTTAAGAGAAATCTCAAGGTTTTCCCTACCTGATCTGAATTTGCTCCGAATCAGCAAAGAGTGCTCAGACCCCAGGAGTGTCATGGTGACTCAGGGACCAGATCCAGACGCCCCTCACTTAAACCATTAACTTCCTCCACAGGGAAAAGCCGACCAGACCGTGGCTGGTGCTCAGGATTCATCCAGCTCTCCTGGACTCTTTGGGTCCTTTTACAGCCGGCTGGCAAGAAGCAGCAAGTGGCTTTGTAAGATTTGGTCCCATCCAGCACTGACCCTCCACAGACACCAACTGCTCCCCTTGTGCTGTGTTGAACTAATTAACGTGGAGCCAGCGGGAGCCTCCTCCCGCCCGGAGTTTACTACCAGCAGCTGGGTGTCCTGGCTGATGTCATCGTCTAGCGGGGAGCAGCGACTATCGGAAAGGGTCTTAGCAAAGACAGAAGTTTGATATCTGATACTAATTACTACCGGCCGTACGCAGCCAATCCGGGCGCTCCCCGTCTCAGCCGACTTTGGGAGCCGCTGGAAATATCAACAGAGCCGGGCTTAACTCTTTGCAGCGTGGTGTGAGACGGGCTCTGCCCCCTCCGCTCCCCCCGCGGCGGCCAGTGCGGCTCCGGGGCTGTGTGTCCCAGGGGGAAGGGCCGGGCTCAGCCCGAGTGTCCTGGGCGAGGGGACGGCTGGGTGAAGGTCCTTCCCCGTGAGTGCCACCTTGGACACGCTTCCCGTCAGAGAGGACTCGGCTGCTCGGCAAAGGGAGCTCTGGCTCCGGCTGCTGCCGCCCCTCGCCCGCACAGAGCTGTGTCCCGGCTCACACAGGGAGTGCGCACAGCGGGGCTCAGTGTTTCACAGAATCCCAGGATATGCTGAATTGGAGGGGACCCACAAGGATCATCGAGTCCAACTCCTGGCCCTGCACAGGCCCATCCCCAAGAGTCACCCCCTGTGCCCCAAAGGATCAGCCAAACCCTCCTGGAGCTCTGGCAGCCTTGGGGCTGTGCCCACTGCCCTGGGGAGCCTGGGCAGTGCCCAACCAGCCTCTGGGGAAAGAACCTTTTCCTGAGGTCCAGCCAAAACCCTCCTGCAGCACAGGTGTGCCCAGAGCTGTGCTGCTCAGTGCACATCTTTCTCAGTGTGTGGTTCTGTCCATGGGATTATCCACCTGAGAAGCTCACGTGCTGTGGCTCAGGTGGCAGATGCTGCAGACATCCATAACGTCCTCCTGTGCTGTGGCACACAGACACTCGGGATAGATGAGGCAGGGCTAAACCTTGGCTCAAAGTTTCCTGTGCTACAGCTGAGCACAGCAATCCTGAGGAGGGTGGGAGCAGTGGTGTGACGAACACGGCTGCAATAGAGGATCCTTCCATCCTTCCCCACCTACCAAACATGCTCTCAGAGAAGAAAAGCTTCTTGCACACATACAAAATAAAGAGAAACAGATCTTTTGGGGCTTCCCTTCCCCAAGCCCATGTCTAGTTCACTTTAGGTAGTAGAAGAAGATGAACTGGAGTCACCTTTTAGTGTGTAGCACAAGTGGTACAAGCCAAGCTAAGTCAAGGACAAGTCTCAGCTTCCCTGACACACAGGTCTCACCTAGGAAGCTGCCTAAATTCCCTCTAGATCATAAATACCCACCTGAAAACTCCCTCAGAACTTGTTTGAGGTTTTATTGTATGTGGGATTTTTTTGTTTTTTTAACTTTAATTTATTTTAATCCCATGGTTTCTGTAAAGTACTCTTACACAGTTTGGGGGAGTGATCGGCATTTCAGGGCTTCTAGATGTGTGACCCCAGAAGCTCTGATTCCATCAGTGCTCCCCACACAGTGGAGAACTCCTGGAGTCCCTCACGCTCATGTAGTCCACGTGATACAACCATAAAAGTGCAGAATCATTTAGGTTGGAAAAGCCCTCTAAGATCATCAAATCCAACCCTCATCCCAGCACTGTCAAGCCCACCACTAACCATGTCTCTAAGCACCAAATCTACACATTTTTTAAACATTTCCAGGAATGGTGATTCCACCACTCACTCTCCTGGGTGGCTTGTTCTCATGCCTGACTACTCTTTCAGTGAAGAAATTTTTCCTAAACCCTGGTAAAATTTCAGACCATTTCATCTTGTCCTATTGCTTGTTACCCGACAGCTGAGGTCAATGAGGCTGTCCTGAGCTGAGGCCCCTCCCTGCCATGGGCTGGACAGGTGATTTCCTGGTCATGCTACATCCAATTAAGTGGATATTCCTTAGTGACTGATGGGGGAGAGGTGATTTAAATAAATTTATCTCCAAGCATAAGCTGAGCCTAACAGCATAACAGCAAGGTGGCAGGAGTCTCGTTCCTTACTAATTTTTCTTAATGTTTAGTCCGCTGAATTTGAAATGTCCTGTCTAATGGACTTATCCTCCTAATCAGTGCTGTCCTGAAACAAAAATTGTCATTTAGCAGAACCACACCATGAGCAGCTCAAGGACAAGACAGAACTCACTGACACCCCCAGTCTCAAACTGCAGTTTCTTTTACTTTTTTGCTTTGCGAACTCCTGTTTGATCTATTGCTCCTGCTGGCCAAAGCCCCACTGAGGTACCCTGCTCCCTTTGGAGCCTGATGGTTCCTAATGTCTTTTCCATCGTGCGTGAGCTGGAGCTGCCTGAGGGGTCTCTGGCCATGCAGCCCCTCTCCCCCTGGGCCTGTCCCTCTGCCCCATCAGGACTCTGCAGATGCGATGGATGGGTCTTTTGTTCCACATCTGCCGTGACAATGCCCACATCACCCTGTGGCCCAGAGAAAGTGTCTCCAGGAGTTTTTCACTCCAGTGCTGTGTCTTCCTGTGAGTATGAGCTCTTCTTCTTCAGACCCCTCTTGCTGTTACTGCAGTCGTTCCTGTTCTTGACCTTTTCTGCCTGCATATCACCATCTCCCCTTTCTGAGTTCAGTGGAAGAGGAATAGAGTGCAGGGGGACATTCCATGGTGTGCTGCTGCTTGGGGTGCATCTCCCCGTGGCAGCAAAAGGCCATCAGCTGGGATGGCTTAGGACCAGCAAGGACAGATGAGCGGCCCAAGGTGCGCAGCATCTCACGTGGTACTCTCACCCTGGGTGTGACCCTCTGCTCCTTCAGGATTATCTGCAGACATGAGGGATGGGTACAGGAGCTCTAGGCCTGATGCCAAGCACTTGGAGGAGCCTGACAGGGCGGCCTGATCTCCTCTGCCAGACCCTCTGCTGAAGAAGGGGTTTCTCCCATCATCTCCACCGTGGGTACCTTGTCTGTCTTGAGGCTCATGCACAGAAGAGGGTTTGTCCAAAGACCTGACATCGAGGGCACAGACAGTGCAGGTGCCCTCTGGGCCCCTAAAGACCTTCAGTATCAAAGTTTTCCCCTTTCATGGACATGCATTGCCTACCTAAATGATTAATGAAGACAAAGGATTTTTTTTTGTAGCATGGACTACTAGCATGAGTAGTAGGTGAGGTGGATACAGGCTGCGGTCTCCTAATTTTTAGAGCAGTCTGGAGGTGCCTCTAAAGCAGTAAATAAAACAGAAAAAAAATTAAAAAATCAGGTTTTGACATTCAGAATTTTTTTCACTTGGTCCCACACAAGTGCATTTGTTCCAAGGCAGGAAGCAAAGTATTGTAATGAGCCAAAATCAGGACTACATAAGAAAAGGAAGTAGAAAGGTTGGGCAATGATCAACAGGGAAAATGGCAAACATTATATTTTTTTTTTTTTGGTGGGGTAGGGGCTGCAGAACCTGCAGCTGAAAAAGTAAGCAGGTTAGTAAAATCCCAGAATTATTAAGAAAGTGGTTTGTGGCCTACCTCAACTGAGTGGATGGCAGATGGAGATGATTTGATGTGGATAAGTGTTGACTGTTGTGGCAGAAGGGAGGATGGACCCTGGACTCCCCAAGCAGAGCAGCCTGGGAAATGGAGCCTTGTGGAGATCACTGACTCCTTGGGCTCGAGTCACTGTGAGCATGTAGAGATGAAGAGCAAGCAGAAGCTTTCTGCTCTACTGGTTTGGTAACTCTTCACCCAGGCCAATGGAAGCTGGGGTGTGATTTAGCAGGCACATCCTGGTTGGTGATTTTCTAGGGATGTGTGTGGGATGAGATCATCCCATCTGTCTGACCTGGCCTCCGCTTTGATGGGAAGCCTTCGTTCCTCCTTACTCTTTTCTCAGGGCTTTTTATGAACCTGCAGGCAATTCCTGAGCAGTTCCCTTGGAGGGCACAGATCAGACCAGTGCGTATGGGAGGTTGTACTGGCCCTGTCCCAGGGTAGTTCTCTGCCAGCTCAAAGAGTAAGTCTGCTTATCTCTGAGCACTTTTACATCAGACATTAAGATGTGCGAGGCACCCAAGCAATCCCCTCACACAGTGTGAGTTTCTCAATGCCAGGGTTTGCTCAGAGCCTGTCCTGGACACCAGTGCCTGATGGTGTTGTGACTTCGCTCCCTCTTCCCTGGCATTACAAGTCCATGAGGGGATGGATGAGACTGTTGCAGCTTTCTTTATTTCCTTTATCTTTTCAGCTACAGCCTGTTGGCCACTGATAATCCTTCCCCTGAACACCCAGATCCCAACAGTCAGCCTTGGCACTCTGCTGAATGACACCAAAAATGAATGGGAGGAGTAAGAAAGTTGAGGTGTCAACCAAAGGGCTCGAGCTGCTGTGAGTGATCTCATCTGAAAACTTAAACCAGAGCTTTCTTTGGGTGGCTGAGGAGAAACTCACAATGGTCTTGCTTACATGCTTCTCTCCATGCAGGTCCCTGGCCAGGTGATGTTGGAGCCACCACTCTCAGAGCACTGAGTGCTCTTCTGAGGGGGCTGTAGAAACTGCACTGATGACTTTGGCAGCCACAAGACATGGGGCTGTGGCTTCTCAAATCTGAAGTGGCCCCAGTCTCTTGTCCTTGAGTGGTCATTGCTAATGTTGGGCTCTTGACTGTGGAGATGCATAGCCTCGTTGTCTCTATTCCCTGCTTTGTACATTATTTACATCTATTGATGTTGACTTTCATCTAATGTTTCACCTCTGAGGCATTCAGCAAGGAGAGAGCATTCTGCAACTGGTTGCAGGAAGGTTTACTTCTAACTGCTTTAGTCATTTTGAATCATCATCCCTTTTCCCTAATATTTCTGCTGAGAAGCCCTCTCCCAGCACATGTTCCTTTGGCACTCCACAAAACACTTCACTCAGATGTGAAAAATGGTCATTCATTTCTGTCTTTAAGAAGGCATTAGTCCCTGGAAGGCTCTTCCTCTTCTCACCTACAGGCTTGGAGCTAGAGATATCTGAGGAGAAATCTCATTGAAAGACTGGTGGAAACCCAAACCCACTGTAGTCTTTGGCCCACTCTTACCCAGACT